TATACAACATATCTGCACTTTTATTATATTTGTGTGGAAAAAGAATATCAAGCGGATGTTATTGAAGCGATTCGGTTGCGGTTTGTTTCCAGAAGATTCATGCCCAACAAATGTTACATCGTCTAATACTTCGATGACCACTACGTTAGGAGAGATGCCTATACAGAAAAAGATGAATCCTTGCGAACAAAGAATATGTCATGAGGAAGATTCGTCCTGTGTGAGACTAAACTTTAATGTTCCAATATGCAAACAAAAAATTTATTGCATCACACAACAGTTCATTACCAATTAATTATAATCTCATAATTTTCGAATCGAGGATTAACTATGCAATGTTGCATATTGATCATTTTGTTTTAATCTTCAATTTTAAATTGCTTAAAAATAGCATTCTTTTGTTCGATCTTCTCTCATGCAATTATATTTTGTATACACATACGTACATAAATTGATTATAAGTTAAAGAAAATAATAAATTGCTTACATAAATTGTTGCATATTAAATACTAAATTAGCTAAAAATATAATTTCATATTTTCATAATTAAATATCATGATGCACGAATATTTTTGCACAATATGCATAGAATGAAAATTGTAAAAATATACTTAATTTTCAACAAATTTAAATTTTAAACATTAAAAAAAGGTCCAAGAAATAATTCTTTTCTTTTATTAATTTTTTCTAACACTGCATAATTACCATTATGTGTAAGGATTATTAGCGCTATGTGCACATTATGTTTTGATATATCTAGTAATTAATAGTAAAGTAATAATATATAAATAATAGTAAAATATGTAAAATAGCTACCAAGACATTAAATCATTTATAATACAAATAAATTACTATGCGAATAATATTTATTTTATACTATTCTTCTTTATTTTTTTTAATTTCATATTATTATTTTTTATATTATTTCGTAAAATACATTTATATAAAATCTCATTGCAACTTCAAATTTTTTACTCAGCATCTTTGTTCTTCACATGTTTATACCTTGACATTTGCACCTTTTTTTTAACAATAAGAACAAATTCAAGATAATAAACAAAGAACCGAAAACCGAGAATATATTGACGCCATTTAAATCACCATCGTTATCTTCGATATTTTTTAAAAATGATTGTTAATGATTTATGCGCTGATGTGCGCCATGTCAGAAACGGACAATTGCAAACCGGATCTGATCTAACATTTACTGTCAGCTAACAAACACCAAGCGACGCGGTAGCGTCGCGACGCCAAGTATATAAAAAAATTTCAGATTTCAGACAACTCATGTACGTATGCTCGCACGCACACACACAAAGCGATTTTGTCCCTCAAGCGGTGTTCACATCGCCCATGAACAATTATTCGTTTGAGTGTGCAGAACACTTTAAGAGACAAGATCATATGTGGATGCGTGTACATACATGTGAGATGTTTATATTTTATAAAAGTACGCGCGGAGTATAATGCGACAAGAAGAAAAGTGATTAAGTGATTAACGGTTATGGGAGAATATCGCGGAATAGTGCAACACAAGGAAGAAAAGTGATAAAGTAAAAAGAAATTATTAACACGGAATAATGCAAGGAAAAGAAAGTTATTTCTTTTAATCGTATTGAGCAAAGTTAGGTTATATTAGCAAAGTTAAACATATGCTTTACACGCAATGCTTGAATCTGTGCAATATCAATTAACATATTTGTAATAAATTGTTGGAAAATGATTATGGAGGCATTAAAGGAATATTTGGAGATTTTGGCTGGCTATGTTTTCGATAAGCTGGTAATTACACGTGTGAACGCGTATTCATGTACATAATATTTATTTATATTTTATATATAAATGTAATTAATGTGTAATTAATATTTTTAGATCATTTACAAATGCCTAAGTAATGAGTTGCATGTTTACGTTAATATAACAAAACAAATCTTGTGGGAATTGTATCAAAAATATTATATACAATTATAAATTGAAAGCATTAGAATTAGAGCCTGAAATAGAAAGCATTAATCAAAGAAGAGAAATATGATAATAATTTTGTTTATAAATCATATAATAAAGATTATTTATTTTCTTGGATAATGGTTAAACTTATTTTTTTAAAGCAATGAGAAACGTAAACATGGAAATTGATGGTTTATTCGGATGGAGTTGCCTTTTCCAATATAATGTTATCGAAGAGTATTAGAATATCTGTCATCGACAAATATAATTTAAGTTTGAATCAAAATGAGGAGGAAGAGTCGGTTAATGATGCTGAATTGCAGATTTTATTAGAGGGTCGTATAAAAGTTTATAATAATATGGCAGCTGCGTTGATTAAAACAGAAGCCTACGATGCAGCTTTAGAAAATGTGAAACATGTTTCGAGGTGTCAACCACAAAATGTTAAAGCACTATTTAGGAAAGGTATTATAAAAATGCTAATCTTCTTTTTATTTACTATATTTAATCTTCTTTTTAATAAGTTGTATTCTCCCCACTGATTCAAAAATTAAATCTAAAAATGAAGATATATTTACTACAAAATTAATGATCTTAAGGGATAAAATTGCTAAAGACACAGAAAAAGAAAAGCATCTATATCGTAAAATGTTAGGTATGGTTGAAGTTACTAAAAATCCGTCAAAGGATATAAAAGTAGATGATAAAAGTAAGTAATTAAGTATAGGATATAGATGCTTTTCTTTTTCTGTGTCTTTAATAATTTTATCCTTCAAGATCATTAATTTTGTAGTAAATATCTTCATTTCTGGATTTAATTTTTGAATCAGTGAGGAGAGCGGAAGAGAGAGAGAGAGAGAGAGAGAGAGAGAGAGAGAGAGAGAGTGCATAAGCTTTTGCATATTCCCCTTTGCGTCTCAATACTGTTCCTACGATACGCACAAT